ATATATATATATATATATATATATATAGAAAACATTTTGAAAATACTTGTTTCTTTTAAGGCAAATGTCGTTGTTCCAGATTATGACATGTTACGAAAGGTTCTCCACACGTGAACGTATACTTTTGAGAACTTTGTCCTGTTGATGTCAATCTTCTGTGACGTCTCTAACAACGCGGCTACTTGTTGTTGCGACTGCGCCCTAATTAGAACTAATGCATTACAAAGGTTTTCCTAAGGTTATGACTAAACCCTTTCAGGTTGCCTACGTATCGAAAAACAAAATCAGGCCTGAACGTAGTTCGTTGGATGATGATAAAATATAATGAAAATGACCGAGCTTGACTCAGGCAGCCTACTTATCCAAAATGGAATCAGGTCGAAGCTTAGTTCAATTACAATAGATGCAAAGTGATGAGACTAAGAATGGAAATAGTCGAGTTTGACTCAGACGTCCTACGTATCCAAGTGGAATCAAGACAGAATGTAGTTCAATTACAAAAGATGTCTGAATCCGATGAGGATTGCCTACGTTATCCTTTATGAGGAAATCAAGTCGACGTAGTTCTTGAACAACATACAAAAGTGTTATTTGGGTTCTCTATTACAAGAGAAACGGGGGAGAGAAACCGAACCCTATGTGAGTTGCCTACGTATCCCTCCGTGGGAAGTCAAGTTGAACGTATTTTTGTTACATCAAAAACCCTAAATTTATTCGTCTTTAGGCGTAGTATCTCTTGATTGCATCTGGGTTGATAGGCTTCGTGCTGAATCTTCCATCCATTTCTGCCAAGATAAGAGCTCTACCAGACAATTCTCGGTGAACCACGTAAGGACCTTGCCATGTGGTGCAAACTTCCCTTTGGCTTCTTCTTGATGGGGAAAGAATTACTTCAGAACCAACTGTCCTGGTGTGAATTGGTGAGGCTTCACCCTTTTGTTAAATGCACTGGCCATCCTGTTCTGATATAGATATCCGTGGCACAATGCATCCATTATTTTCTCGTTAATGAGCATGAGTTGTTCCTCCCTGACCCGTATCCACTCTGCATCATCCAATTTTGCTTCTTGAATGTCTCTTAAGGACGGTATCTTGACTTCTGCGGGTATCACTGCTTCAGTGCCGTATACCAACATGTACGGCATTGCCTAGTGGATGTTCTCATGGTTTTCCGATAACCTAATAAAACGAAGGGTAACTTCTCGTGCCATTGTATATGATTGTCCACTATCTTTTGCAGAATCCTCTTGATATTCTTGTTGGCGACCTCGACTGACCCATTCATTTGCGGCTTGTAGGATGTGGAATTGCTATTGACAATTCTGAACTTCTCGCAGATTTCTCTCATGCGGTCGCTATTGAGGTTAGTGGAATTATCAATGATGATGGACTCCGATATTCCAAATCTGTAGACGATGTTGTTTTGAACAAAATATACCACTACCTTCTTTATGACGGCCTTGTAAGTAGATGCCTCGACCCATTTGGTGAAATAGACGATAGCTACCAAAATGAAAAGATGTATGTTTGATGTTACATGCTCCATGGGTCCTATCACATCCATGCCCCAGGCGGCGAATGGCCAGGGCGAACCCATTACATTTAACTCGTTTAGTGGAACCCGGAGGAAATCTCTGTGAATCTGGCACTTGTGAAACTTTTGCACGTAGCGGATACTATCACTTTCCATAGTCATCCAAAAGTATCCAGCTCTCAAACTTTTCTTGGCTAAAGTGAACCCATTCATGTGGGGTCTGCACGTCCCTACATATATTTCTTCCAACAGTTTAGTTGCTTCAGTGGCATCCACACATCTCAGCAAATCTAAATCTGGGTTCTCCTGTACAAGACTTCACTGTTGAGGAAAAAGTGGTTTGTTAACCTCCCGAGGGCTCGCTTCTGACCATTAGTAGCATTTTTTGGGTACTCCTGGGTCGGAAGGAATTTCTTGATGTCGTGATACCATGGTTTACCATATGGCTCTTTATTCATATGGAAGCAATAGGCGTGTTGATCCCTGATCCCTACCTTGGTAGGGTCGATATAGTTCTTCTCTAGATGCTGAATCATAGATGGTAAGGTTGCAAGGGCGTCGGCGAAGTCCTTCGGAAATCTGGGGATGTGCTTGAGCTCAATCTTTATGAACTTCCTGCATAACTCCTTCACGCAATGCAGGTACAGTAGTATCTGGGCAGTTTTGGTGGACCATTCTTCTTGGACTTGGTGTATCAACAAATCGGAATCTCCTATGACCAAAAGTTCTTTGATGTCCATGTTGACTGCCATTCTGATTCCAAGGATGCACGCCTCGTATTCGGCCATATTATTGGTACAAGAGAATCTTATCTTTGTCGATGCTGCATAGTATTGTCCAGATTCAGAAATAAGGACTTCCCCAATCCCAACTCCTTTGAAGTTTGTTGCTCTATCGAAAAACATTATCCACCAGGGTATGATTCTACAATATCCTCCCCGGCAAATAGTACTTCTTCATTGGAGAAATACGTGGAAAGGGTTTGTAATCTCCTTCTATTGGATTCTCGGCGTGGTGATTGGCTAAAGCTTGCCCTTTGATAGCCGTCTGAGTTATGTACACAATGTCAAACTCGTTGAGGAGAATTTTCCATTTAGCCAGTTTTCTAGTAGGCATTGGCTTCTGAAAGATGTACTTGAGCGGGTCGAGCCAAGATATCAGATGCGTAGTGTATGCCGACATATAATGCTTTAGCTTCTGAGCAATCCAAGTCAGAGCACAACAAGTACGTTCTATCAGGGTATACTTGGCCTCACATGGTGTGAACTTCTTGCTTAACTAGTAGATGGCCTGCTCCTTTCTCCCACTTTCATCATGCTGGCCCAACACACATCCAAAAGCTTTGTCTAAGACTGGCAAATAGAGCAACAATTATTTCCCTGGTTCGGGGGGAACCAACACTGGCTGGTTTGAAAGATACTCTTTGATTCTGTCGAAGGCTTTTTGGGACTCCTCCGTCCATTTCGTGGCAACATCCTTCTTTAGCAGCTTCAAAATGGGTTCACATATACCGTGGATTGGGCTATGAAATGATTGATGTAATTCAATCTTCCCAGGAAACGCATGACATCTTTCTTGTTCACATATTCCTAGATGGCCTTGGTTTTTGATGGATCCAGTTCTATCCCCTTCCTGCTTACGATGAAACCTAATAGTTTCCCAGCTGGGACTCCGAACGCACACTTTGCTAGGTTCAACTTCAAATTGTACCTTCACAGGTGTTCGAAAAATTTCCTCAAGTCATCCAAGTGCTCTGAACTCTTTTGATACTTTATGATGACGTCATCCACATACACTTCAATCTCCTTATGAATCATGTCGTGAAAGAGGGTCATCATGGCCCTCATGTAGGTGGCACCGACGTTCTTGAGACCAAATGACATTACTCTATAACAGTAGACTCCCTAAGGCGTGGTGAAAGCTGTCTTCTCTGTTTCTTCCTCGTGCATTAAGATTTGGTGGTATCCAACGAAACAATCCACAAACAGCTATTGTTCATGCTTCGCACAGTTGTCAATAAGGATGTGGATATTTGGCAGGGAGAAATTGTCTTTTGGACTAGCTTTGTTGAGATCTCGGTAGTCCACACATATTCTGATCTTTTCTTCCTTCTTGGGCACTGGGACGATGTTTGCCAACCAGCTTGGATAGTTGGTGACTCTTACTACGTTTTCTTCTATCTGCTTGGTCACTTTTTTCTTTATCCTCAGATTAAATCAGGTTTGAACTTCCCGGGTTTCTGCTTGACTGGCATTCTGGTAGGGTAAGTGGGTAGTTAATGCGAGACAATGTCAGTGCTTAATCCTCATCATAGGACCACGCGAACATGTCGACGTACTATCGGAAGAGATCAATCATCTTTTCCTTCTACTCATCTCCAAGGTGAATGTTTATTCTGGTTTCTTTTACATCTTCTTCGCTTCCAAGATTGACCATTTCCGTTTCTTTGAGATTGGGATTCTTCCGACTCTCTATTTGTTCGATATCCTGTAGGAGATTGTCTGACATCATACTTTCGTCATATTCCTCGTAATTTGGGCTATTGCACTCAGCGGTTTTGTTACATGTCATAATCGTGGAATGCTGTTTTTTATCGGTTTGATTACTGAAAAGAAAAACTAAGTATAAATAAAGCGGTAAAATAAAGTTGCGATATTTAAGAAAATGATTCTTTTATTTCATCAAAAGGGGAATGTCTTAAGCGTTCACAAGAGACAAATGAAAAAAAGGTACAGATACGGTACATGCCTCAATTGACCGTGCTCTTTCAAATAAAAAACTTTTACAGTTCCATACTACCAAGACTCCCGGCGAACTAAAGATGGAATGGTTGTCAAATTCTGCAGCTCTTCCCCTGGTTCGGCATCCTTGATAGTCCGTGTCTTGATGTCAGTTCCTTCGCAACATTCTTCAATCATATTCACTAACAGCTTTCCCATCCAGTTGATGATATCATCTTCGGGTGTTGAACTCTGTCCCGGACTTGCAATATGCTCTGGCATAAAAACCTATTTCCCGGAGCTAATGGTGCGAACTTTCCCTTTCGGAGGCTGATATCCTATGCCAGCCCTTCCTTTCTGCCTATTATGTTCAATTGGCTCTATGATTCTATCTGACTTGGCTCCCAACCATATTCCTGGCCTGTATCCCTATTTCATCATCTCTTTCATGGCCATCTTGGATCTAAACGGTGACAGCTGATGGTAGGCTATAATCTCGTGTTTTAGCTGCTTATGGCACTCTAATTTACTGCACTTTTATTGTGTTTGAGCTTTAATCGATAGTGTTTTGCACTTATTGTGTGTTTTATACCTTGTAGGAGTGATTCCGAGCTATGTTGATGTATGGAATGAATTCTAGTAATTTGAAGCTTCGAAGACTTCGTAAAAGCCTAAGGGATTAAGTCGGGATCGCGTTAGAGGTCGTGAACCACATCTGGATATCAAAAAGCAAGGAAATATCTGTACTATGAGAAAACTCCACAGCCGCGGCGCGTGGGGTGCTATATGTGTGTATTTTTCTGCTGCCTGACATATTTTAACTCTCTGAATTTTCCCACTAATGCCCCGCATGGCGCGTCGCCCCATGCAGCATGCCTGTGCAAATTTTATAGAGTAATGATCCTATTTCACGTAGGAAAAGGTGATTTTGTTTAGGTCCGACCCTACTTGGTATAAATACATGAAAAACGTTGTTTTCTGGACTTTTGACACATATTCGACCTAAGGGGACTAAGGAGGAGTTGGAAGAACATGAGCACAAGGATTTCATCATTCCTTCCTCACTCAAGATCGAGTTTGGATTGAATTTATGTTTTCCATTACTTTAACTATATTTGTGATGAATTTCTACATATCTATGGAGTAGTTATCTTTAGGGTTTGATGGATTTGGTGTGATTGTTTGTGGATAGCTCTAGTTTTATGTGTTGAAGCGTTTTGGATGATTTAATTATTGCATCTATATTCACTTGTTCATGTAATCGATGAAGGCATAACTTGTGATATCGTTGAATTATATTGTTAGTCGAGTTCACTACTTCTTCTTAGTAATCAAAAGAGGCTAGTTGAATTGTTTATTAAACCTAGTTAGGAGGATAATCGAGAGAGGTTCTCCTAAAGATCAATCCACTACGCATTCTTGTATATCTTCACGTGCTTAAATTGGTTCATCTTGTGAGGTTGAGACTTAATCGAGAGAGGAGTTTCTACTAAACGTTTGAACTAATAATTGAGTGAATTTGAGAGACTCACTTAAACATTAGAAGTGAATTATCTAGAGTTAGATCCCAAACAATTATCTTGCACCTATCCAATCAACCCCTACTTTCTCCCACTGATAACTTCCTTGCTTATCTTTGTTGCGATTGGTCATTAGTCAATAGCTTTAAATTCTTAGTTAATTATAGTTTTAATCACATAAATCTCAACTGTTGATTCTCCTGAATAGCAATCAAGGTAGAAACTACGAAAATACTGTTTAACTCCAATCCATGTGGATACGATATTATACTATACTATCTTTGACTAGCGAGCATAATTAAAGTGGTGTTTTGCGCTCGTCAACTGCATTCCCAAATTTTGTGCAGTCTTCTCCATCTCAGTAGTCTGCATGATTTTCATAGCATGGAAGGCGACTCTGTCTAGCCCCTCAAGGAACGGGACAACATACTCCAAGTAGGCGGAGTGACCCCACTCGCCGTGAACCACAATCTTCTGACATCCCTGTTGACAACCAATTTTAGCCCTCCCTTTTCCCAATTAACATTTTTATACTTCCTAATCAATAATAATTAATAAAATATATTTAATCTACTTTTTCAAATAATCATTCAAATTAATTATTGTATTCTTCTAATATATATATAGTCATTAGTCTTAAAAATTTAATTATTATGTGGGCAAAGTTATTTTTTGTATAGTTGTAATCATGTCACCATTATTTCTTAACCAATTAATCACATTGTTATCTACACAATGTTTGACATATTTATACATTTTTAGACTCTTAAAAATTATTATAAATACATGCATATATATGAATTATTAAATCTATAACTATAAAATAATATAAATATATTTTATTATAAATTATTAAGATTAAGGAAGCTTAATTAAATTAATTTTAAGTGAAAAGGGGGCTAAATTCTGAATTGAGGCTATTTGTACAAAGTTCAATTGTCATCCAAAGAGGGCAACCCATAAATCTGATTATTTTAAAATATTTGGACCCAAAATTCAGCCCAAAACGGGCCTGACCAGTTGCCCCACTTAGCCCATACCCAATCTTACTCATCAATCTATGACATTCAAATTCGACCACTCATAGGATGCCATGTCATCAATACATGTCAAACAAATACACCTTCGAACTCATCTCACTCACTAAAGAAACACAATTGATCCTAGCCATTAATTTGAATGGCTGAGATTTATTCTTCTTTCTTCTTTATTTATTTCTCCAAACTTAATTATAGCCGTTGAATTATATTTTTGTCTAGATTAATCATGACTGTTGATTTCCCTAATCCAACGGTCCAGATCTAGTCAAACCCCCAAATATTTACTCTCTTTCTTTCCTCTCTCATCTAAGCAACCCTAGACCCATTTACACAAAAAATAGCCGCCACCTTCCTCTTCCTCTCATCAGCTCCATCCGACCTATCTTCTAAAACCTTAGCACCAAATGGTGCGAGGTCTGATTTCGTCACCCTAACCTCACGAATTTCCCTTTTTGCTCTTATTTTTCTCTGTCACCCCCTTGAAACCCTAGCACAAATTTGTGCTATTTTTGACTGCCATTACTAATCCCCACCATCAATGGTTTACTTCTTAATCACATGACTTTGAATATGAGCAAACCACGTGAAGTCCAAGCTTCCACGGCTCGATCCCTTCATCATCATC